TCAACAACCTCCATTAATTTAGCTTTTTTAGGGTTTAAATCAACAGCCTGAACTAATTCAGAGCTAGTATCACTTTTATCAGATAAATCATCTAAATCAACAGCTTTACGTTTCTTCTTCTTCTCATCTTTATCCTTCTTACTGCTACTCTTCTCCTTCTTGCTGCTACTCTTCTCCTTCTTACTGCTGCTTTTCTCCTTGGTGTTGTCGGAATCGAGGGTTTCCGGCTTCATTTTCTTCTCCTTTTTTAGGGTTTCTGGGGTAACGGAATCGATCATCATTGGTAATGAAGGCATTAAAATTGAAGGAGAGAGAAAATGAAGGAGGTAGAAAAATGGAGGAGAGAGAATGAAGGTTTAATGGCGACGAAATTCCTCTTTCTGAATTGCAGAAGGAGGGAAAGAGGGAGAAGACGGTTAGGGTTTAAGGTGGTTTTATATGTTTGTTGATTTTTGGGGGCGGGGTAATTTTAGCCGTCCGATTATGAAACCCTATTCTATTGAATATGTTGCCGTTGGATTTTATCTAGGGGGTAAAATTGGAATTAGGTATCGTTTGGTTGATATGGGAATTTACTTCCCTTAGGAATTTGTATTTCATGGAATTAAATTACTACATCAGATTCATGGAAATTGCATAAAGTTGTTTGGTTGGAATAGAGGAAGTTGTAAATCATGGGAATTTTGACTTATCAAGGGGGGTTGGGTAATTAACTTCCTATGTTTTGTGGAAAGTCACAATTCCCATTAATTTGCAATTCCCTCGTTTACATTTGTTATTGTCAACCAAACAACTCCTCCATTTTCAAATTCCCATGATTTTCCACTTCCCCCATTTTTTTTGTGTAACCAAACAACCCCTTAGAATAAACTTTATACTCTTTGAAGATATTTTCACAGCCAAAGTAAAAATATCTTTATGTTTCAAGTTTTATTGTGAGTTAAGAGCCTTATGAGTTATGAACACAAGAAAAACAATGTGGGAAATATGATGAATGATGAATATTCTTTTAGGTTGAAAAAAATATACTTTGGTATGGGTAGAGATGTAAGAAATGATATGGTTTTATAATTTACTCACAAGTTTAATTGTACTGTTTAATATAGCGTAATCAGCAAACGATAAAAAAAATAAAAAAAAATAAAAAAAACACCTTAAAACTGTGGTTATTGTAAGGTTATTCTTGTTGCGGTTAAACGTGCAACCTTAATTGTGTAGCCCTACATATATTTAATGTTATATACATGCCTTAGATAAGTGTATATATTATCATAGTCTAACATAGTATCAATACTTAACATTTCAATCTAACCTTTGCAAAATCTTTAGCTTGGTTTCTCTCTTCTTCAAAAATAAAAAATATACAATCAACCTTCTCCTAATGAGTAATTGAGTACCATTGCGCTCTTTTTTGTCAATAATATTAAAAATTGTATCCCTTTTATCTTCGATCGAAAGACCGTACATTACTCAAAATGGGAGGAACTTTTAGAATGTCATGCTCATGCTTTCAATGTTTTAGATCACATTGATCGGCCCTAAAGCTACTCATTCCAAGATCTCAAACTCTTTGTGGCTGAGGCTTGAGTTTATTATTGTCAAACAATCTCTTGTGATCTCTTTCGAAATTTTGCAAGTGAATTACAACGCAATGTGTTTGGGACAAACTTTAGGTCATCTTTCTAAACATCAAAAATACCCTTACAATAATACCTGTCGAACTTCCCAAAATTCCCCCTCATTTATCTTTTTCCTCTTTAATAAATTTGTACAATATATAGCACAATTTTTAGCAAAGTCTTGTTTTTCACCTCATGGTGGTGAATAAAAACTTAGTCACTTTTGGATTCACTAAGAAAAAAAATCCACTTATATTAAAGATAAGTTAGTTATTACGTCTGTTAGAGAATTCTTACTATCAAATACAAAAAATGCTATATAATGTGTGAAACTATATACCCTCCATACTAAGTTGTAAATAAAACTCCAAGTCCATAAACATTTTGAGGATTTATTGTATGAAGGACTGTAATTTAAGTTTACGCTATATAAGTTGATACAAAGTACGTTATGAGATAAAATGTTTTTAGGTCAAATATCAAACTAATCCAGTTATCCCTGCAACTTCACTTTTTCCTAAATTGTTTATCCCAATTTAGTAGGTTCGAGCATGACTTTTCTAAACCAAATGTCGTTTTAATCAAGTGTAAAAGCGATTGCTTGTTGTTAGTAATTTTGTTTGATTTATTCATATGAGGTTTTCTACTTTTTCTCTAAATCTCATTATGAAATAAATAGTCCATTAGTTCTTATAGTTGTAAACTAAATAAGATTAACCCCTATTGTTGGGCCATGAAAAACAATTAATTAAGAGTTTTTATTACGATGTTTTGGGTCTTGGATTTGATATTAAAGATTGACGGATCCATTGGTCCATATCCGCAAATTAAACCAAACATGTACAGTCAGTCCAGTCCACTAATATCTCTTGGTTCAGTATTAGTCTAATGTTGGGTACTGGGGTCCAATCCACAATATTCAACTATTCACAGGTTAACCCAAAAAGATTATGTGATGGGGCTAATGTAAATTTGTAGTAATGTAGAACCATATCATGACTAATACTTTTTAGAGTATACAAGTATTAAACTATTAATAAACACCTTCTACCCAAAAAAAAAAAAGGGATTTTATATGTAGTAATTGTTTTTTCTCACTCAAACTACCATACTTCCACTTCCGACGAAATTTGTGTTGGAATAAGGGAAGGAAATGCTTGATGGTACGTAGCAATATACCCGGTCGGGCTAGCTAGCTATGCCTGGTTGGGCGTGAGAACAAAAGAGGTTGTGAGCTGGAAGCTCGTCCGATCGGGCAAGCCCCACCCAGTCGGGCGCAAGTGAAGCTGGAAACAGCGTTGTACTTGCGCCCGCTCGGGCGCGAGTGAGCCCAGCAAATTCACCTGGCTACGCCTCTTCATTTCTTCTCCTTAGATTCTTTGTTTTTGTAACCTCCATGTAACTTCTCCTTAATAATGTGTTTAAGGGATTTTTACTCACCTTAATTTCTTATTAGGGCTTTGTCCCTTTGGATTCTTCAACTCTTGATTATCCCATCCTTCATTATATATTTCATGGTTAGAAAATCAGATTACAAGATTACATCCAGACACATTAAGCTAAACACATTCCTCTTTTTGGGCATAAGTTTATATGACTCCAACCTAGGGATGCTTATCGAGCGAGTCCATCACGAGCTGAGGGGTGCTCGACTCAACTCGAAAACTTTTTATATGTGCTCAACTCGTGCTCACTAAAGTTTCGAGCCAATAAACCTGCTCGACTCGTGCTTGTTAAAATTTCGAGTCGAGTCGAGTAGCTCACGATATGCTCGTTAAAGTTTTGACCCTTATATAATTATACGTCTTTTATTCACTTTATATTGTTTTCTTTTTTATATATATTTATTATTAAAGATTTACTCTTTCTTTTTTTATATATAAATTAACACTTATTTAGTGTCAAAATTAAACATGGTAACTTTGTTTGTAAATTCTATATTAATAAAATATATTATCGAGTTGCTCACTAGCTTATCAAGCCGAGTTAGAGCTTGCTCAGCTCATGGTCGTTAATATCTCGAGTCGAGTTTTGACCGAACGTTGACCGAGTCGAGTTCAAGTTGCTCACGAGTTGCTCAACTCAATTAGCACCCCTACTCCAACCTCTCATCCAAAAGTGCCTTTGTATGAGAGTGGTGTGTTAACCTTACGGAATGTGCCGACGAATACAATTGAGCACCACGATTGCGTCGGAATTTCGTTTTCAAGTCAGTGATTTGCATCACAACACATCATATTTGTTCCATTGATTATAAGATCAACTTTTCGATCTTATTGTTTATTTCTTTCTGTTAGTCTTGAAAACACCTTATTTTACAACAACTTGATTTAAAATTAATATAATGTCTACGTAAATGAAGTAGGAGTATGAAATGCTTTGATTTTTATTTAAGTACTCCCATATAAAGTAATGTAGATTAATGCAAGTGGCATATTAGTTATCGACTACTCTACATTTAACAATATTAAAAAATTTGAATTATAGACAAAGAAAAGACAAAAAGGAAGTCAAACTTAATCACGAGGCAAAGAATAAAATAAATTCATGTACCTTGCTTCTTTGATTATCTACTTATATAATTACATCATCCTTCATCCATTATAATGCTTTCATAACAAAATTACAAAGTTGTAGTAAAAAATAATTAAAACAAAACATTTTATATAAGATACTAAAATAAGGTTTGACTCACTTGATAGTCTGTAAGATTTTACCTCATACTAATTTGGACATTTAATCTTACTAAGTGAGTATGTTTATTGCTTAAAGGTGAGATCTAAATGCCTAGCCCAAAAATGTCGAAGTGAAATTTGTGAAAATTGACGGATGATCTTATTTTTTTTTAAAAATAATATAAAATGACTCATCACTCAGCATTAACCACCATGAATGTATTATCTCCACTCCCTAATTTAAAAGTATGGTCCATGACTCCATGTGCCCACGTTATTAATCTCTAATTGAAGTTGTTGTGGCCCAATTTAATTGATTCTTATTTCTAAATGCTCAAATTAATTCCCACGTTCCAGTTAGAATATCAATTATCAAATGTGTTGCCATTTTCTTCAGCCTGTTGCCTGGTTTGTGGCAACAACGCATGTCCCATAACTTTCCAATTGTTTAGGCTGGCATGTTGTTAACTTATCTACGATAATTAATTCACAATTACCTAAACTTTGTCTTGATCAATATAAACACAAATACAACTTTATTATTACAGGAAAGATTACAATTTGATTTGACTTGATACAATAGCATCACTCTTCAATAGCAAAAAAATTAATCATGTTGCTAAATTGAAAAGTTTCAATTTTACCCTATCATACAGAGTATAAAAATAAACAAATCAAATTTTAATCAAGATTAGTCGAGTGGAACAAGACTTAAAATACGGATCCACCATATTACCACTATTATTCATGTATGGTACTCCGTAACAAACTAACAATTGATCCGTATTGCTATTATGGTCATATCCATTGACCATTATTCATGACTAATTGACCATGCTAGCTTCAAAATTAGAAGTCAAAATGTCAAACTGAACTATCATTCACAGCTTTCCCATACAATGCTGCCATTAATTACAGCTCTATAGAAAGTGAGTGCCTACTGTGTAGATAGCGACGAGTGACCCAATTCACTGCTTTACAGATTGATATGCAATGCATTGTGAAAATGCAATAAACACTTGTTATCTCACAATTATTAGAAATTTAGAAATTACAGAGTAGTCCAAATAATTCTAAAAATAAATAAAATCAATAATTCTATATTTAATCTACATGACTACATCAATTCAACATAACTAAAAAAATTACCTTACATGCATGGTCATGCCATATATAATTATTTATAGAGTAGTACTCCATAGTGTATGTTCAAAACTTTCTCCCATCTTTTGCATTGAAAGGTACCTGATCTTTCCTTGGTGTGACCTTGACAACAATTTGTTATCCAAAACCACTTAACAATTTGCATAGCGCATAAAAATAATTTACCTTGTTGATCACCGTACAATTATAACTTATGATGTAACTATTGCAACACGGACACACGGTGATTAATCATGTGATAGCCAAGTCGACTCGAAATTGTTCAATTCATAAGAGTGAACCTTGTCACCCTTAACAATTGGATGGTGCCACAGGGTTGTATGTGCAACAATGGCACACATATGGTTTATTGACACTGAAAATATACTCATCCTAGATTAATTTCCATACTTTTTTCTCCTTGATTCTCTTTAAAACGCCATCAACAGCAATATCAATGGCATCTTTCATACTCCCTAACCCTTCATTAGGTTTTGCGTATATTAATTTAGGAATAGTTTCCACCACCTTTTCCCTCATCCTTTTTATCTCCTCTTTACCATACTTCTCCAACACGGTTTTTATCAAAGTACCATTTCTCACCTCATCACGGTGAATAAAAACCGAGTAACTCTCTGATTCTCCTGGCAAAAACCACTCATACTGAAGATAAGCTGATCGTTTCCAAAAGAAAACCGGTATCGAACCGGCCAACATGCAATCAAATATAGATCGACGAGTAAAACTATCACCCCTAGGCTGAAGACAAAACTCCGAGTCAAGAAATGATTCAAGGATTACAGACGTCCCGCACCCTTGACCCCCGCTGCAGTCCACGAGTCTACACGACTCGAACGAGTCCTGACATTGACTCAACAACAACCCCCGGAAATCATTTTCAACCCAACCTCGTGTGCCACCGGCGAAACAAAACAAAGAACGCCGCTCACGTGACCGGACAAACTCCTGCCACAAAACAACATCGGAGGGTTGATCAGCAAAATAATCCCACGGGTTTTTCTCGATCAACAACCGCGTGACATTTGTCATCGACGGCATGGTGATACACCTAGACCCCCACCCTTGATCACCATACCATCGAAAATCCCACGTAATTCTCCCCATAACAAGAAAATGATCCCAGCCATTGGATCTATTAAAATAGGGATAATTTCCTTGGACCCACTCAAGCATCATTTCACAATGCTGATCTCTATCTTTTGGACTAAAATCATCCATCATATATTTACCCACTGCAATTCCAGCGTAAAACGGGATGTAGTACGCCGTAGCAGATTCCGGCTCTAATGTACGACATTTATGAAAAAGTAAACGATTATGAAAAAGAACCTCGGAAGAAAATTGATCAGTTGAGTACCAAGCGCCGGCGAGATTTTCCGGCATTAAATGATTATTTTCCGTCACTTTATGGCCAAAACCGTCGTTCGAGAGGGCCCCACACCAGTTACCCCAAACGCTTGATTTGTCGCAATTTTTGTAAAGATCGGAGTTGAATTGTGATGGGAGATCGTAGACGAAGATTTTGCCGTTTTCGCACTGATCAAGTGGTGGGATGGTGGAGCTGACGGCGGCAGAAGTGGCGGCGGTGAGAAACGGCGGGCGGTGGTCGGAGAAGGAGGTGAGGAAGAGGAGTTGAAGGAGGAGGAAAAGGGAGAGGAGACATAAGCGAGGGTGGTGGTGGAAAAGAGAGAAGAAGAAATCGGTCGGCGACGATGGTGGTGGTTGTGGTTTGGGCGGCAAGCGGTTCGCAGAAGACGATATTATTTCCGATGCAGAAACCATGAGAAAATATTTCCCGACAAGGATTCACCGGTGGCCGAGAAACTCGTCGGAAATTGTGGTGGTTTTGGTTGTTGTTTTGGTGGTGGAGGCGGAAGAAATATTGCGGGAAAAGTTGTTGGAGTTGTAAAGGTGTGTTGTATTTCTTCGTATGGGAGTCAAATACTCGTATGTATATGCAATGTAGTGTACATTATTAAAATTCAACTAAATGAATATAAACATTGATTAATGTCTATGCATTATTGCAACTTGATAATTTTATTAATCATTCAACAATTATGCCACCAACTAGTCTAAATTAATCTATAATTTTTGTCAAGGTAATAATTCAATCTTACTATGTAACGATCGGTATCGTACAAGTAAATAACAACTTAAAAAATGCGTATTATTAAAAATTGATCACACACGGTAAATTTAGATCTTTGTATTAAAAAAAATAAAAAAAATTAACGTTTTAATATTCAAAACTAATTACTTCCAAGTAATGAGTACATGATGTGAGGGCTAACTTTTAATCGATAATTTGGTAATATTGTACTAGCAAAAGCAAAAACAATAACTCAATTTGATTATTCTAAATTCAAATTGTGATTGGAATAGTCTTGTTTTCAAAATTAGTTTCTCTTTAACATTGTATTGTAATAATACAAATTTATTCCCTATATTGTATCTTTTAGACGTTATTTGTCTTGATTTATCTTTCCTTCACATTTAACACTAACACCTTTATAAATTTAAATGATCCGGTTTGTATTTTTTTCCATTTCAAAAAAGTTGCATCACTTAAATTAATATATAGGTATATAACAACCCTTGTTAAATTGCTAATTGCATTAGCTTGATTACTTTAATACTCTGGAATAAGTCTGAATTTTGTTTTAGCTAAGTTTATTTGAAATGATCATTTTGCTAGGATTACAAACAGAGAATGAAGTGAATTAGAAAATTAATCGCATCTTCTCTCCTCCTCTCTTCTAGGGTTTCTTTAGATTCTTGGCCGTTTAGGCCGGAAATAGTATAATTTCTTCGGAAATTAGACTAATTTCAACTCTTTCCCTTAATTTTCTTTAGTTTTGTAATTTAGGTTTCAATAAATCTACACGAGTAGTGTAGATATTCATCCGTCTCCCTATGATGAAGTATCTCCCTATGGTGGAGTCGTTAGTTTTTGTTAGTTTAGCTGTTTGTTTAATAATTTATGTTTAGGGTTTGTTTGTGTGTTATGGTTTATCAAAAAGGTAATTATCTTTTGCCCTATTATCAGTTCGTTGGTAGAGATTTGTTTGGAATTGCAACGGTTGTCAAGTTTTCAAATGCGTTCAAGTGAATCAAATGAAAATCATCCTTACGGCTACAACAAATCGTTAGACCGTCTCTCCGAAAAAGCTGTATATTCTAGCGATGTGTGCGAGAGTTGTACCTCAATGCAAGATATATTCAACGATCGTAGGTTTATGTATTTGTTAATTTGATTCAATTTTATGCATTTGTTAATTTAGATTTCATTTGTAGATGTTGTATGATTTTTTATTAATGACTTGTTTTGTTTAAAAAAAAAAAAAAAAATTTTATCATTTTGCTATTATGCACCAAACTCGGCACCAATGAAACTATTATGCACCAAACACCATCTTTCAGACTTTCAACCCTTAAATAAGCTTATCACTTTCTCTGGACTCTGTCTTCTTCCTCTATACTCTACTTCAATCCACCAAAAGATCTCATCAACAATGATCCAAAACACCACCGAAAGAAAGAAACAAAAAATAAATAAATAAATAAATAAATAAATAAAAAGAAAAATAAAAAGAAAATTCAAACTCTTCGTTCATCAACCAAGAAGTTCATTCTGCTTTCGATGCAGTTAACTACTTAATTGTATATAAAAATATAATCCATAGTTGTTTCATTAAAGTTGTAGATCTCGAAAAGTTCATGAATTCGGAAAGAAAGATCATATGATTATTAGTGCTTTGTGGTAAGAGTTATGCCTGTTGGATTTCGCTGACCTGTTTTTCTTCTTGCTACGCGAGCGACTTCCTCTATCTATGCTTATGTTGTCCAGCTTGTCCTTATTAGTCTTTCTTCTCTTTCTTTCTTGTTATAAAAAGTAAGATGGAGTTTCTTCTTGTTTTCTTTTATATAAGCCACAAAACATGAAATCAATTTTGTAAGGTCAATTAATAAATATTTTTTATTTGTCATTTTTTTATTTACTAAATGAAAGATACTAAGATCTTGTCAAAAAAAAAAAAAAAAATGAAAGATACTAAAAACGGTTTTTATGCTAATGAAACGAATATATAATGGAGAAAGGATTTTGTTATGCTATCTTATTTGTGGTGAGTAATTATGGGGTTCAATTCAACCAAATGCGTTCCAAAAGATTGTAGAGTCTTGGAGGACTAATGTACTAACTTCTAGTATTCCCTTTGTTCTTTTTCTTTTTCATCTCTTCTAAATTTTCAAAGGTTCTTGTAGACTTACAGTGTGTTTGGATAGATTAATGGGGAGTAAAAGAAGGGGTGGGAGGAGAAGAGGTGGGGTGGGAAGCGAAGGGGAAAGAAGAATGAAAAGTTTTCCTTCCAAATCTCTCAATTGCTGGAAAGATCAATTTCTTGCAATTTGATCCTTCATTTTTTCCCCCTCCAATTCTCCTCCTTCCTCATTTGTTATCCAAATGAGAGATTATCTATCCCTCAATTTCTCTTCCCTTCCTTTCCCTCCATTTCCTTTAATTCAAACAAAGCATTAATGTTGTAAAATCACCTATACAACAAAGCTTAGTTCTAAAATGATTTGGTGACTAACTAACATGAATCCACATAGCAAATCATCCGAAAAGCTAGGAGCAAAAACATAGCAAGATAATTGAAATTTGAGAGAATAAAGATTTGAACGCTTTGTTTGGATAGCAAATATGGAAGGAAAGGTAGGGGAGGGAAATAGGAAGAAGGGAAGGGGAAAGAAATGGAGGGGGAGGTGAACTCCATTTTTCCTCCAAATCTCTCCAATTTTGGAGGGATTATGCTCATTCAAGAGATAGGGAAAATGGATCCCTCCCTCTCCTTTCCCTTCCTTCCCTCAATCTTTTACCCAAACAAGAGAGTTTGTCCCCCTCCCTTTCTCTTCCCTTCTTTTCCTTCCATTTTCTTCTATTCAAACAAAGTGTTAATTGAGGAAAAACCACTCTTTTGCCTCTACTGATATGGATAGAGTTTTAAAAGGAAAATAACTTCAGAGAATCAGAGATCTAAGCATATAATTTTTTGAGAAAATTTATACAAATTTCTTTCAACTTCCAAGTAACCCATCCAGTTAATTCTTTTGGCAGTATAGTAGTACATAGAGACAAATTATATAGGACAAAATTAACATGGTTAAGAAGTACCGAATAAAAACAAACTTACACTATGTTTGGATAACACTAATGAAAGGAAGGGGGGGGGGGGGGGGGGGGGAGGGGGAAGGAAAAAGAGGGAGGGGAAAGGGAGGGGAGGGGAGGGAAGAGGTGACCTTCCATTTTCTCTCCAAATCTCTTCAACAATGGAAAGATTTGGTTTAATAAAAGGGGAAGGAAAATGGATCTTTCTAATTCCCTTCCCTTCTCTCCTTACAATAGGTATCCAAACAAAGGATGATGCATCATTTCTTTTCTCTTCTCCTCTTTTCCTCCATTTCTCTCTATCCAAACATAGTGAAAATAAAAGTGTGTAAAGTAAAAAATAAAAATTAATTATTCTCGTAATACAAATATTCCGTACTCCGTATTGCATTTCACTGATGTATAGTTTCTTTTAAAGTGCTAGTTCCATCTTGTTAAGTGTTTAAAAATCAAAATTTTGGGACATCATTATCATTACATGAAAAAACACCAAACATGCATGGCCCTACCTCATCAAACATAACAATTCCGCAACAATCCCCATCGTTTTCAATCAAAGGTGGTCCAATACTCCAATTTATGGTGTGACATTGCTAAAATATTAGCTACCCAAATTACCCTCCATTATTCACAGTACAATGCACATAATCACACTTTGGCACCACCTTGCCATTATCAAAGCTCAAAACCATTTATTAATAAGCACCCAAAAGAATATACTACATTACTACGTAAAATAATTACTCAGTATTAGTATATACGAGTATTACAATACACCAAACTAATCGTAAACGGCCTCAATTCTAATAAAAAGATTGTCTAGTCCATAAAATGTGACCATCACACTTAACAAAGTGGACAATTCTTCCCTAGTACGTGTAACAATAGCAATTGTTATATACACAATGAAAAATAATACTCATATTTCTAAACTAATTACCATTTAAAACCATACTCTTGTAGTTCCTTCATTCTTTTTAAAACCCCATCAACGGCAACATCAACGGCATCTTTTATACTCCCCAACCCTTCATTGGATTTTGCGTAGATAAACTTAGGAATAAATTCCACCACCTTATCCCTCATCCTTTTAATATCCTCTTTACTATACTTTTCTAGTACACTTTTAACCAAAGTCCCATTTTTAACCTCATCACGGTGAATAAAAACCGAGTAACTCTCCGGTTCACCTGGCAAAAACCACTCATATTGATAATAAGCCGATCGCCTCCAAAAGAAAACCGGTATCGAACCAGCTAACATACAATCAAATATAGACCGACGAGTAAAACTATCACCTCTAGGCTGTAAACAAAACTCCGAATCAAGAAACGTTTCTAGAATCTCCGACGTCCCATTAGCACACCGATTCCCACCACAATCCACAACCCGACACGACCCGCCCGACTTCCTACACTGATTCAACAACACCCCACGAAAATCATTCGCGATCATACCACGAGTAGCACCCGCAAAACAAAACAACGAACGCCGCTCACGTGACCGAACAAACTCCTGCCATAAAACGACGTCGGATGGGTTACTAGGGTGGAATCCAGTAGGGTAAGGTACACCAACATCAAAATAATCCCACGGATTTTTCTCAATCAACAACCGTGTAATATTTCTCATTGATGGTAAGTAAATACACTTCGACCCCCAATCTTGATCATTTGAACGGCGGAAATCCCATGTAATTCTACCCATCACAAGAAAATGATCCCAACCGTTGGATCGGTTGAAATAGGGGTGTTTCTCTTGAACCCATTTGAGCATCATTTCGCAATGTTGATCTCTATCTTTAGGACTGTAATCTGACCATAGATATTTACCGACCGCTAGTCCAGCGTAAAACGGGATGTAGTACGCCGCAGCAGATTCTGGATCTAATGTACGGCATTCATGTGAAAGTAATCGGTTGTGAAATAATATTTCAGAAGAAAATTGATCAGTGAAATACCAAGCGTCGGCGAGATTTTCCGGCATGATTCGGTTGATTCCTGTCGCTTTTCTACCGAACCCGTCGTTTGAGAGGGCGGCGCACCGGGACCCCCATGGGCTTAGTTTGTCGCAGTTATGGTAGATTTCGGAGTTGAACTTTGGTGGAAGATCATCGTATACGAAGAATTTCCCTGATTCGCAAGTTAGGGAATTAGGGTTTAAGGTTGAGGAGTTGGAAATGGCGACGGAGAGAGTGGTGGAAGAGGCGGCGGAGAGAGGACGGTGGCCGGAGTATGAGAGGAGGATGAGTTGAAGGAGGAGAACAAAGATGAGGAGGCATGATCGAGGGTGGTGGTAGAGGAGAGAGAAAGTGAAGTGAGAAGGTTTGGAGAAATAATCTGGAGAAGATGAAAATGGTGGTATTTGTTTTGGAGGGGTTTTGGGTCTTTTTGTTAGCCGGTCTTGAGTAGACGACAATGAAGTGTCTGTTACAGGAAGCATGAGATATGGTAGGGAATCAGGTGGAAATGGCGGTTTCCCGGCGAGTTCTTGCCGGAAAGTTTGTCGGAAAAGTGGGGTTGGATGTTGTGGAGTGGAGGAGATAGAGGAGAGAGAAATGCGAAAAAGCTGGTGGAGCGACAAGTGAGGACAAGTGAGGGTTTATGGAAAGAAGAGGAAGAATTATTTGTTGGTGGAATTTTTATTATTTTTATTTAATTAATTTTGGTTTTAATGGTTTTTTTAATATTGGGAATGGACGCGTGTGTAATGGGTGGTACCGGGAAATAGTCTGCTACCGACAGGTGAAATACGAGGGTTGGGATATTGCCACGTGGCTGATGATTTAGTGGACTAATTGCAACTGCTACTGCTTCCAGATTTTTTCAGTCAGTTTTGGTGTTTCTGTGCAAAAAGGTGAGATTAAACGTGAAAATAGATTGTGTAGTAGAAACAAAAGGTGTAACGTGCTATGAGAATAGAGGTGGCAATTCAGTTCAGTAGTTGTAATACCCGTATTTTAATATATATTTTTTAATTACTTAATTGATTATTATTTTTTTAAAAGGGTATTTTAGTAATTTATTTTACTATTTAAATCTTAGAATTAAATGATATTTGAATTTTGGCGCCAAAAACATTATAAAACTTAATTATTATTTTTAGATTTTTAATAAGATTTATTATCCATTTATTTTATTATAAAAACCGGATTATTTATATATATTTCGGATATTTTAATTAAGCAACAATTTTAATTATTTAAATCAGGAGGTCCGAAAATTCCTACTAATTGGCTATTAATTTCGGATTTTCCTAGTGTAAAAAAATCTGATTTTTGATTTTTTTAGTTAATTTATTTAGTGAATAATTGGTATTATCTTAATTAATTATTTTAAACAATTTATATTATTTACACAATTATTTTTAAATCCTTAAATCTAGCAAAATAACTCCCTAATTACTACTAATGTGGTCCGAAAATTCGAGCTATGGAAGCTCAAAATTTTCGGCCACCATGGTTGGATTTTGGGTGATTTATTTTAGTAATTTGTATTTTTAATTATCTCTCTTAAATTTATATTTTTCCTTAATTCTTATTTCACAACTCCTATATATTTGATCATCTTATTTTTCTACCTTATTTCATCCTTAATTATTCCCCAAGCAAGCTCTTTTGCCATATTATTTTTCATGATAGCACACTTTCCATAAATTAATTATTCATAGCCACCTTAATATTAAACTTTCCATAATTCTTTATATCACTTCTCCAAGTAATTTCCTTAATTCTTTTTACCATAATTCTTCCTACATTCTCCTACCATAATTCTTACATGAAATAGCCTATAAATGCCCCTTGGTTCATGGTTAAACACTTACACCAAATTCTCTCTTAAATCTCTCTAATTTAATTTTCTCCTCCTCTTTTCTCTTGCTTTCACTCGGCCACCACCACCGAACACCACCTGCCATCGCCGGCTGCCACCAGTCGCCAACACCTCGGGCAGCAGCCAACTCCAGGCGTGCTGCCCTCCTTGCTGCCACCTTCTTCTACTTTTTTCATTGGTTTTCTACCTTTTCTTCTTCTCTTCTCTTATTTAATTAATTATTATTATTATGAGGGATTTATAAAAATTACTATGAGTAGTTATAATTAAATAAAATCAAATTTTTATTCAAGATTATGAAAAATAATTTATAAAGTTCATGTTCATATAGTTGAGGGTTTTTAATCTAATTGTTGTGATTATTTGTTAACTTTATATTAATTAAGGTTATGTTTAATTATAGGGTGTGTTTAATCAAAGTTCTTGAAGTTCTTATGTGTATGCTAAGCAAAGATCAAAGGTACATTAGGTGGCTAGATATATTTGAAATTGATTGGATTGAATGAGCATGGTTCATATGATTTTTATTAAATTGAATTGAATTATGATTTATGAAATAAAAACATGTTTACAAAATTGGTTTTGATAAATAAATTGGAAGATTGATTTCATATCAAGTTTTGAATGATTAAAATTATTTATCATGTTTTAAAGGTTTGATTTTGAAAGCATGTTGAATTTAAATAAATAGAAGTTTGAGTTATTTATTAGAATTATTGAATTAAAGAGGTTTATTGAATTATTTATTTAAAAAGCTTTACAAGCATGATTATGATACTAATCTCACTATGCGGATTCATTTAAAACTATGGACTTTGTATGACCTAGTCTTTCCTCAAGAATAGCCTTGAAATACTAGGAGACTAGCTTGGGGGGTGTGCACACTTAGAGAGGAAATTGGGTTTTTGAAAAGAATTGATTTTAATAATCATTATTATTGAATTATTGGAATTATATTGGAGAATTGGCTTTGAATCATGAGTTTTCGAATTTATTGGATTAATTATTGGAATTGGTTTTAAAAGCATGTTTGCAAATAAATTGAGTTTACTTATCTTGCACTTATCGTACTTAGCATATATTGCTAACTCGTATTTCCTTTTTGTTTTGGTTCGCCCTATTTAGCTTAATGGTAAGCAGTGTTAACTATTTTCAGGTGGAGTCAATAATTGAGCATATGGGAGTCCCGGGATGTTCTTCACCTAGAATTAGGAATGTTGGTCTTTGTTTTGATTATGAGTACTCATGACAATGGTTTCTATTTATAGCTATTATTAATAAATAAAGAGTTTGAGTTTCCGCTGCAAAGTATTTGTTTTGGTTAGAAGTTTGAGTAGCCTTGCGTAATCACGCGGCGGTAATACGCCTAAGTCTATCTTTACGATATAATTATACGTATTATACTAGTATTTTCGTAGAGGGAGATTCGGGGGTGTTACAGCAGGTCGGGTTCGGGTTAGATTTCGGGTTGATTTTGGGTTGTGCTTAGAAACTATCAAAAATAGTGTAAAACTGAATATTATTAAAAAATATGAATTTTAGGTCAAATCGGGTCAAATTCGGGTTGTTCGGGTCGGATTCGAGTGTTTCTTAGTAATTTCGGGTCGGATCAGGGATTGCCAACGCTATATGAGAATATATCAATCATCAGCTCAAATAATGGAGTACGAAGTAAAATATTGGAACTGTACTACTACTATTCCTTATTGTATATGAAAGTCATTAACTTAATACATCGACTTACCAAAATCTAACTAGAGAGGATCGATTTGAAACGAGATTGTTTGGTTTGGTGAGTGCACAGCGGAAGCAAATTAAAGATGTAGAGATTGATAAAATAATTAGGAGAAAGATTAAAGCAAGATAAGTAGTAAACAAAAGAACACACAATATTTAACGTGGGAAAAATTATCAAAAAATCCACGAACGACGAGCGCCGAAATACTCCACTATATGAAAATAGGAGAGTACAAGAACTCTTAAAAGGGTGAGTATTACAAGAAAACTCTCACTATAAAAACTCTCAAAGGAGTAGTACAGAATAAGGATAGTGGATTAGGCAGATTGTGTGTAGGTAGAAATTTCGATTATGACATCTTAGAGAGCATACATTTGTAGGTAAATTCTCTCTAAGCATAAGTAATGTATGGAGGGACACTCATAGAGTGTATGAGGGTATCGGAATATTGGAGGATATGTAGGTGGATACATTCTCCCAAATGATGTCCAACACCGCCACTATTTATAAATGATGTATGGAGGTGGAAGAAGTGTGTGGAATCTTCAACACACATGCTCCTTGAATTGCCACATAGATCTAGAGTCTTCATGACCTTCACCATTTCTAGATTCTTCCATAATTCCCCATCATTTTCTCAATATAAGAGAATTTTCTAGAAATTTTAAGATACCTAGAGATGTAATAAGTTGGACTATGCAATTTGGGCCACACTAACCCAACAGAGATTTATTGACCTGAGAATAAAAATTATATGAATTATTGGAAACTTTTCAATTCAAACTTCACATCCAATCCGAGATAGATCAACTCTTATCCTATTATGAAGCATTTAGTAGAAAGATTTAAGGGCAACTTGAAACTTTCTAGTTTAAACCCAACTTAAGTTAGATCAGCTCGTATCCAATTATTTTATAGAAAGGTTTAAAAGCAACTTGAAACTTTCTTGTTCAAACTCAACCCAAATTAGGTCAACTTGTATCCAATTATTTAGTAGAGAGGATAAAATTAGTGGTGATGCTCAAAATAATTAAGCAGTTTCGATATCTTTTAACTAGCTTTACATTTTCTCATTATTGAAGCATCAAAACATGTTTTAGGTTGGTAAAAATAGATTTTACTTTAGGCAAGTGGTTTTATTGAACCCACTTACAACAATCTAACTTTACCTTTCAATGTAACACAAACGAGTTTAGCACGTGAAAAATCGCAAATGTCCAAATACAATATATGTGTTGGTGGTTGGTCCATGTAATGTTTTCTACATAGCTAGTTTTGCATTTCATGAATTTAAACTCTTGTTTTCAATACGAATTTTTTTCTTTTAAATCAGTTGAGTTCATCGCCGTTTTTATTTTTTTGTTAGTGTAATAAGTTAACAACAATTGATATAGGATGCACATTAATGCTCTCATGCTCACTTAGCTTATTAGAGACCTCACACTTAATTTGAGGAACTTGATAGAATTTCTCATACGAATGAGCTAAGAAAATTGCCATTTATGAGGGATGACCTAGGCCTCTTTTTTGCAATACTCCAACGGTGACATAAGCACATAACTAACTCGTCAGCAAACTCTTAGGTGGAGAACAAAACGTACGTATTTAGCTTCACTAATCAAACCCTTAAACTTTAGAGTTCGGCATAAGTTTTTAGATTTGAGCGACAAGAAACATGGTCGGTTCCCTTGTAATTATGACTTAGTGCTTCTCAAATGTGCGGTCAATCGAACGTCATTAGTGTCTTCAATTTTGCGGTAGGGCAGTGTGCTTCTCAAAAAAATGAAGTAAATGCATTTAATACTATATAATCACAAGCTTAAGATGCTGTTTTTGTCGCAAAACTATTCATTCGTCATTAATTATTATTTTTACATAGGAGTACAAGCATATGATCGAGTATGACGTGTTAGGAAAACAATTTTGCTAAGCTCAATTGTTTAGCCTATCTAATAATATATAGGCGTAACAAATAATGATAATGATAATAGATTCGTTGTATCAATTTATAATTTTGTAGTGCAGAGAGTGCCTTGTATAGTTATACGTACCAATGTTGATGCATCAATTGTCATATTTGATCCATGGTTGCCGTTTTTAGGTTGAAAACCTTTCGCTTACACATATATCACAACTTTAGCTAATTGGAAAAGGAGCACTTTTAAATATCCAGTATTATTATTTGGTCACATTATATGGTCGATTATTAGTACTACTACACGTCTACAATACACCTATTAAAATTTGCAATTGTTTTACATGTATTAAATTGAAGTAATTTTTTCGTGTTATAAATTGTAATGAAGTATGTTGTACCTTTCGTAATTTAAGTTTGTCCTTAGCTTGTAATGTGTATTTGAAAGGCAATATGTATAACCATTTGGTTACTTTTTAATAAATAATTAGTATGTAGTCTGCATTATTATATTTTTAATGTGATATATGACAATAAAATCACATGAAAATAATGACTAGTACAAGTTGGCCTGCTGATCAAAGTTGAAAAAATCACAATTAACACGTCTTAGGTTGCTCAATGTTCATACCTCTGCAAATTAGAACACCTCTGCGGCTTCTAATTAAAAGTACGTGCTTTATTTGATTTTAAATATTATATAATTCTACATGATTGAGAGAGCAAACTAAGCTACGAAGATTAATTAATCTATTCTAATCTCCTTTAATTTCTTGAATTGGTGGATAGCTAGCTAGTACTCAAATAAGATTCCATTATAATTTGACCTACAAGGCTACAAATGACACTTATTATTCAAGATTTTCACGTACATCTTTTGAAGATTATTTTAGTTTACATTACAATATATATATATATATATATATATATATATATATATATATATATATATATATTTATCTTAAACTTTTGATGATGGTCATATACTTCGTACAAAACATTTATTAATTTTACATTATCTAACCCCAAAAAAAATCATTCACAATGATTAACTTATACTTTTTTCTTTTGAAAATAAAAGTTATCAATTAAATTATACGTTTATTGTATAGTTTCATTGTAAAATCTCAAACTTCATATTTATGGATCAACAAGCGTACTACCTTGACAATTAAGTAATGCAAATATATATATGCAATATTTTGAAACAAATAAAGTACAAAATCTCTATGCACATAGATTTTTTAAATAAAATATCTATGCATATAAATGATATGGAGTACTCGTATTAATTATCTACAACAAAAATTTTACCAAAGGTCTTTGTAACTCTGTTAAATTTTGAATAACTAACACAACTAATTCAATGATCTTAGGCTGTATGTGAATCAATTAAATATTAGTCGGTGGAATGGGAGTCAAAGAATATAATCTTGGTAAATTATAGTGCACATGCCGTTGTAGGTGGTCACGAAACAAACTTGCGCCTGTCAATTTACTTACAACAATCATATTGGGACTGTTCAATTCATTTAATCTTATGCTTTGGCTGCCAATTATCAGCTAAATTCAACGCAAATACATATACCTACCGTTTTAACTTAGACAATTCACGTACATCGCGCGGTGTTCGGCACCACCGACAATAACAAGCTTATTTTGGTGAAGAATAATCTGCTCCTTAATTAAGGTCATTATATTGATCACATACATAAAATGGAGAGAATCTACTATACACCAAGTCATGAACCATCTTATTTTTTCAGGGCGAACACAAGCAGCTAAGTAATCAATGGATATGTATTATTTACAACAGTGGCTTAGCCGTCATGAATTTATTACCTTCCTTTAATTTAATTTGATTACACCCGAATCTTATTACTTATGGAATACGGAGTAGTAGATCAAGTGATTGAGATATGTCTTACAGATTACTCCCTCCGTCTCTAAATTAGATACCTATTTTTCTTTATTATGTGAGTAATAAATGTTAAAAATAGACATCTAATAAAGGGATGGAGGAAGTATAATTTTGGAACCAAGGAAGCAACAACAAGTAATAACATTTTTTTCAAACAGTTGATCACAGGATCACAACTCATTACAGTCATTAGCATGCACTGTCAAAATACGGCATTTCAAGTACTCAAAGAGCAGATAACTCTAGGCATAAGTTGCTAGGTGACAATAATCAAAATCCAAACAAGAAGAAAAGCAACAAAAAAAAAATGAAGGAAAGTAGCTTAGATCGATATGAATCAGAATTACTGCTTCTTTAATAACAAAGGTCCAACGTTGTCACCAGTAGCTTTGTTGTGCTTCATATGACTCCCATCACACAAAGGAAATGTCCCTGATCTCCAACACCTGCAAAGTAAGCCATGCGTTAATTAGTGGGCTCAGAGAAGTCCAAAATCATATTGTTATTATTGGGCCGCTTCACATGGGCTTACACAATAAGGATACAATTTCTCAAGTTCAAATACTAATACAATACTATATGGCAATTTGAACTCCAACTTCAATTACCATACACAGAAACTATGACTAATTCGCTTAATAGCAAAAGAATTATAAAAGGTTTGCATTTTGATAATAATTTAGTAATAGAACCTGTAAATCACGCAAAAAGGATATGGGTTTGCTAGAATAATAATAATATTGTTATCAATAACATAATTTTGAAAGACAGGTGTGCCCACCGATTTGTAAATTTTAAACCATTAAACAAAGATATAGTCGTAACAGGGGTGTTTTGCCCAGCTCAAGAGAGAGAGAGAGAATGTCTCGGATTATTTAACTTCTTTTATCAAAAATATTCAGCTCCCATGGCTCACATTAGGTGACTTTAATGAAATGCTTTCTTAGAATGATAAAATTGGTGGCTGGCCTCTTGCTAGCCACCAGCTTAAAAGACTTTGGAAACTCCTATTAGACACGGGTGCTTTTGATATTCCTTGTAATCAAAATTCTTACTCATGGAAGCAATGTCAAAATAATAGCATAATATATGGAAGGCTTGATAGAGCCCTTAGCAACCAGTCCTTCCTACAAGTTTTCCCTAAATGTCTAACTACCCTTGGTACTTTTACGGTCTCTGATCATGCACCTTTAATCTTTGATTCACATTTTGATGATCAAAACCTTGTTCCAAGGCCTTTTCGTTTCCAAAATATTTGGACTTTGGATGAAGATTCACATACGATAGTTAAAAGAATATGGCCACACCCAATAAGAGGATCTCGTTTCTATTGTATACAACAAAAATTATCGAGAATCAAAACTGATTTAAAGATATGGGCAAAGAAAAAGTTCGGTAACAACAATAATAAGTACTTATTGGCTAATGAGGAAAAAATAAAGCAACTAGAAAATGCCCTTCGTTTACAGCCATATAATCCAATATTAGTGAACCATATTAATAGAATGATTCATCAAAGTGAAAAACTCTTACTTTTTGGTCAAAAACAGTGGGGGTCTTTAAGCCGTATAAATTGGCTTACCCATGGGAATAGAAACACTCGTTTCTTTCATAATAAGATGAAGAAAAAATTTACCTCCACAACCATTCATAAGCTAAGGAATGAGAACAATGAGTGGGTTGATACTCGTGATGAGATTAAGATCCTGGTCTTAGACTCATTTCGTCTTCGGTTCAGCTCTAATCATAATGGATCTAGGCGTTTAGACTTATATTAAATAGACCCTATAACAACTAATGAAGACCACAACTTGGTACTAGCCCCAGTTTCACCTGACGAGATAAAAGATGCATTATTTGGCATGAACCCTCATAAAGCACTAGGATCAGATGGGTTTGGAGCAAAGTTTTTCCAATCATATTGGTCAATCATTGAAAAAGACATTACTTTGGCAATTCAAAGTTTTTTCTCACATGGAAGCCTTCCCCATTCTCTGAATCACACTATTATCACTTTGATTCCTAAAATTGAAATGCCGGAAAATCCAAACCACTTTCGCCCAATTAGTCTAGTTAACACAGTGTACAAAGCTATTTCCAAAATTCTAGTTAAAGGCCTTTGCCCAATTCTCCAAAAAAAACGGTAAGTCCTCTCCAAAATGCTTTTACTCCAGATCAATCTATACATGACAACATTCTTATTGCTCAAGAGATCCTAAATACATTTCAGAAATCTAAAGATAAAACTAAGTGGCGTGCCTTAAAACTCGACATGGAAAAAGCATATGACAGGATAAAATGAGATTTTCTCTAGGAATGCCTAAAAACTCTCTGGTTTCCCACGCAATAGATAAACTAGATTCATGAATGTGTCACGAAAGTTTCTTACTCTCTTAAAATAACGGCGAAACTACTGAATGGTTTGCTCCTTCTAGAGGTCTTAGGCAAGGAGATCTCCTATCTCCTTACCTCTTCATTCTTTGCATGGAAGTTATAATTAGGAAATTATCCTTAGAAAGTGATAAACACGAGTCTGGCTTAGGTTTCAAAATATGTCCCCGGCCCTTCAACATTTCATGTTTGTTATTTGCCGATGATAGTTTAGTATTTTGTAAGGCCACTACTTCTGCGTGTAACAAACTAAAGAAAATCCTTGACCATTTTGTGATATCTCTGGCCAACTAATTAATTTTCACAAGTCTTCAATAATTTTCTCTAGAAACATCCCTAATGGGCGGCGTGCTTCCTTGACAACCCATTTTAACATGACCCTAAAAGACTCTTTAGGCAGATACCTAGGTGTGTTCTTTAGTTCTTACTACCCCTTGAAAAAAGATTTCCAAATTACACTTCAGAAAACGGCTCATCGTATTGAGCTCTGGGAAGCAGAGTTTTTATCTAAGGCCGGAAGATATACTCTCATCCAAAGCTATCTTGAGGTGTTACCCTCCTACATTTGCTCTTCTTCTCTCCTTCTAAATGATGTAGCAAAAAATTTAGACTCTTTACATAGAAATTTTTTTTGGTGTCAACAAAAAGACAAGAACAGTATACTTTTAATTGCTTGGGACAAAGTTTGTTAGCTTAAGAATGCAGGCGGCCTAGGCCTCCATCGAACTTTGCCTCTAAACAAAGCTTTTATAGCAAAATTAGGTTGGAAAATCATCTCTGATCCTAATAGTCTCTGGGTAAAAATTATAAGAGATAAATACCTTCACAATACTTCATTTTTCAAATGTAATCCCAATTCAATAGATTCTCATATTTGGAGGAAAATTCTAGCACAGCGTGAAATTCTAAGGAAAGGAATTCGTTGGAAAATTGGTAATGGTTCTGACATCTTTTTCTGGATCGATAGTTGGGCTACCAATCAAAGTCTACTTGAATTACTTAGATTAGACCCAAATCAAGTTGACCTAAATTAGAAAGTATCAGATTTTATTCTCCCAAACATTCAATGGGATAGACAAAAGCTACAGAAAATTCTTCCTAACAACATCACATCTAAAATAATAGGAATTCCTTTTCCAAGTAATATGATGGTAGATACGCCATTTTAGGGTCTCACCTCATCAGGTAAATTCTCTGTAAAGTCAAACGCTTGGCTAGGCCACAACCTGATAACAACAATTGGCCATATTGTTGGATTTGGAAGTTGGACATCCCTCCTAAAATTCAAATTTTCTTATGGCAAATCTTTCATAATAGCTTAAGTGTTCGTGATACCCTTTATAACAGGAATATTGTTCCCATAAGTAGTTGCGGCCTTAGCAACAATCAAAATGAAACAGTTAACCATCTATTTTTAACTTGCACTAAATCTAGAGAGTTTTGGAACCATGCCTTAGTAAAAAATTGGTTGGATTGTCTTATTCCCTACACTGATTTGACTGAGACTCTCTCAAATCTCAAAAGGCACAATATCACAATTCGTAAATTTATTTTCCTTATTTGGAGTTTATGGAAAGAACGCAACTCTACTATTTATCGACAAGATTCTTTTAATACAACAAGAATCTACCACCGAGCGCCTTTTGCATTCAATGAGTGGCATTATAGAATTCTCAATGATACTTATTTTTTCCTGTCATTCCACTATCCTTCATCATACATCCCAATTCTCCATCATGATTACCTAGGAGGCACCACCCAATAACTCATTCAAACTCAACTTTGATGGTTCAGTTCTCAACATCTCTGAGCTGCGGGAATCATCATTAGAGACAACATTGAGACAATTATTGGAGCGCACACTTTCAATATCGGCAACACCAAGGTTTTTATAGCAGAAGCTACTTCACTTCACAAAGGCATTCTCCTAGCTTTCGAGAAAGGGATCGAGAATATTCACATCGAAGGTGATAATTTGCTAGTCATCAACTCAGTTATTGGTACTTGGTCAATTCCATGGTAGATCGAGCACATCATTACAGACATACGCTACCTTCTTAGCAAATTCGACAACTGGAACATTCGACATATTTATCGAGAGGCAAACCGAGCGGCATATTGGATTGCTAATGTGGCTCATTTAGTTATTTATAGTATGGACATTAGTTTTTGTAACAACTCTTCTTTAATTCCTATCCTCTCTTTAGACGCATTAGGAATTTCCCTCATGCGGAGGGTTTCTTAATGTTTCCTCTTTTTCTTATCTTAAAAAAAAAAAAAAGAAAAAAAAAATTAGTTAAGAATAATTTAGTTTTGTATGGAGTAACTTAGAAGACGCTTAATTATAACAACAAAGGTATAAGAGTTTTGAAATCAAGCTAGATGAAGCAAGCCCATGAACTTAATTAAAAACTAGCAAGTACGGAAGCAAATTAAAAATGCAATCTAAATTATTCTCCTATCAAGCCATCCACTCAAACAAAATATAGTATGTAGTCATGGTTTTACAATTTCAGTTTAAATTTTTACACTTGTAGACTCTAAATGTTGTGAGAATCTACCTCATAAAGTTATAATATACTAAATATTGTAAGAAGCTTACCCTCTGCGAGAATCTTATATTGAATAAAAGACGTTTAATAACGTATATATTTCTCACTCTTTTCCCAATAGCTCCCTTATAACCCCCAACCCTCCTACCTTTTTGAAATTTGTTATATAGACCCAGGTGCACTATGCATTCAAAGTTAATTTTTGCTCTAATTTGATGATTAAATGAAAAAACAATCATCAAAATTAGAACAAAACACTCATGGGTGTACGATGCACCCGGGTGTATATAACAATCTCTCCTTCCTTTTACATTGTCAAATCCGACATGGGCAGTAACTTACAGCAATTAGTGTTTTATAAGATTCTTTCTTATAATATTTTTTTTATAAGCTAGTTTGTTGCAAAATCTGAAATATATGAGACATTTTTTCACAAAAAAAAAAAAAAAAAAAAAAAAAAATCCTTTCATTTTTTATGTGCAATCGGTTGTAATCAGTACATTGTACTTGTACAACAATATAGACAAAATTCTACATACAACCGGTTGCACGTTATGCCGGTGAAGATCCTCTACAAATAGTCAAGAACATAGTGCATTAAAGTAAAAAGAAATAGAGTAATAATTAGAATAAGAACCTGCAATAGGGGGTGATATTTTTGGAGAGCTCGGTAACAACAACAGAATCAACAACTTTCTCTTCAGTTTTCCTGATTTCTGGGTTAATTGTTTCTGCCCTTACCACAACCATCCTTCTTCTCTGTTGTGAACCAACTGATGGTTTCGTGCACCCAAACCCATTAACATTACTTAATATGTTAAGAGAAGAAGCCATTTTTTAAGTAAAATTGAAAGGAATTAAAAACTGTTTGTTTTATTTTGAAGGATGTCAAAATAATAAAGAAAGATATAAATCATATAACGAGAAAAATGAAGAACAGAAGAAGTGTATTTATTTTGAACGTGTGGAGAGCACACTCTTTGCTGTTGATCATGTATTTGAGTTATCAGTGGATCAACCATCACCACGTCATTCTTTTGGCAAATCATAGATTTTGTTACCCTTTTCTTGTCCTTAGATAAGGATTAAGAAATGAGGGGTCTTAATCATCAACGCAACTTAACATGAGGATCTCATGATACACTAGAATACGGTTCAAAGGTCTTGAGGAGTGGGGAAAAAAATTACTTCCTCCGTCCCATAATAAATTTATTATTTTTATTTGCATGATTTTAAGATATACCTTTAACTATTAATACTTTAAATTATGTATTAGCAAAAATTATATTATGTTGATCTAATATTATAAAATTACACATTTAGACGAATTTAACAATATTTTGACCATATATTTTGTTCATATCAAAGAGAGATTATTAGTCAAAGTTTTCAAACTTTGACCTTAAAAATAGATTTAAAAACTATATAATTGGACGGAAAACATGGCACAACTATTCCCAAAGAAATGATTTATTGTAGATTTTAGCTTACATGTTTTTATTTTTTTATTTTATTTTTTTGTTTTTTGACAAGAAGAAAAAGTATTTCATTGATAAAATATATAGTCAAGCAACATTTACATATAATTCCTAAGAAATCAAGAATTTCAACGCAAGTATATAACACCTTAAAACTAAATACATCGCATATTCGATCAACAATCACCATATTAAAAAATTTCATCTGCAGCAGTACTATTTGTGAGTTAGCTTTGATTTGGCTTGAAATCCATTGATGCATAATTGTTTGGGTGTAAATACTCATGTGGCCCTCTGAGTTAGCTCACATGATGACATTATTGAAAAACTTTATCAAGATATCAACCAATGTGTGTAATTTTAATATGCTCAAACGGATTGGGAAAAAAAAAAAATTTGAGCTAATTGTCAACTAAAAAGCTATGTTTCTTATTATTTGCAACAAAGGAATATTATTTGTGAGATTCATAAATAATATTCCTTTGTTGCAAATAATAAGAAACAGAAGTAATTTATTGTTAACAAAAAAATGCAAGCATGTTTTTCTATATATGATAGCGAAGTGTGTATAATAAATTTGCTCACTTCTAATGTTCTAAGCACATCAAGCTTATCAATGAGTTAATTATGCTCCTCATCTTCGACTAGTCCTCCACTATGAGGCTGCATTTAGACCCCAGACGCCTAAAAACATTGAGTGTCTTTTTTATTCTGATGATCCAAAGAAAAGAAACAAATAACTATGACGGTAGAATATCAAAGGTTTTGAGCCTCAAAGCCTCTTTGCATAGCTCCTTGGCACAAATTTGTGGGTCATTGTGCTTCCTTAATCCATGTCGCACAAGTTTGATTGCTCGTTGACGTGAAATTACATTCTAGATTCCGTCATACGCACCCCAGCCAGTTGAATTTTATCTTTGTTTATTGAATTTTCTCGTTGTCATTTAAATTTTCTTTTTGTTTTTTGAATTTTCTCTTTGTTTATTGAATTTTCTTGCTATCATTTGAATTTTTTCTTTGTTTTTTGAATTTCCTCTCTCGTGTAATGGAGAATTCAACAAACAAAATTGTCCTTGTGAATTTTACAAATGCGTGTCCTTAAAAAAAAGGAAAATGAAAATTACACTTCTATTTGCTACTGATGATGTATGGAAAGAATTTGAGATAAATGGACCCTTTAAGGTGTGCTTTTAGAATAATGGAATTACTGTAACCAATGAAAATGGTCATTGGCTTGTGATTCAAGTGAGTGATAATGTGTTGTCTTTGTAGATTCTAGCATTTGATTTAGTAAGAGAAACGACTAATTTAATTGCTGTTGTATGTATGGTCTTAACGATAAATTAATTTATTAAACTTATGATGATATATATTATGGCTACACATTTGGGTGATGAAGAGCAAAAATTGTGAATCAAAGTCTTGAAGGTGAACGATTTCGCCGAGTATACAAGGAACTATATGTAGAGTATTGTTTTAATCAACTATAAATAAATTGATTCATTTAAATACTTAAAAAAAATATATAAACACACTTTATTAATGAGTTAAAAAAAAAATATTCCGTATGAAACAATAATGTATTTTGTTATAAAAATAATTTTGTAAGTCATTACATAGTGTATTTTTTATAAAAAAAAAATAACACAAAGTGTTTCTAATGTTTTTATATAATATACATTAAATTTAAGCTTGTGTAATACATAAATAAGATATGAAAAGTTAAAGAATACAAAATACATTAAAAATATTTATAAATTAACAAATTATTTATAATTTAAGCTTGTGTAATAAATCATTTCTAGATGTGTATGAATTTTTATTAATGATTGATTTGTTTAAAAAAAAATATAGAATACATTAAAATTATTTATAAATTAACAAATTACATGCTACTTAAAATTTGCATATTATTTTTCCCATATACATTAAATAAATCATTATTCTTTGTTCAGCTTTTAAATACTTGTAATAATTTTATTTTATTAAAAATAAGTAGGTTCAATTAAATCTGTCCCTTTTAATTTTCCCAATTATAACATGATAATGAGATAAGTGAATGGTTTCTGTTTGTGAATCGCTAAACATCGCCCGCAAATTACCATATAAAGCCCACAAATATGACTTGGTGTGACTTTATTGCCCTTTTCCTTTTTAAAAAAAAACACTCTCTACTTCTCTCTAAAAAAAAATCAGAAAATCTACCTCTCTTAAAAAAATTAATTACGACAATGTCGAGGCGGCAAGGGAAAGAGGTGGCGGCGGCGACGGCGGAGGAAAGGCGACGACCTGGTGGCAAGGTAATTATTTAATAAATTTTTTTTTTAAAAAAAAAAGAGGCGACGGTGGCCAAGGTGGGGCGGCAGGTCCGGCAGCCAAAGCCGGTGGCGTGGCATCTGGCTTGGAAGCCCAGCCACCGGACCAGGCGTCCAAACCAGAAGCCAGCCCATTGGCTGTGGCGTCCAGATCTGGCGCCTGTGCCAATGGGTGGGCGTCCAGTTCAGGCGCCTGCCCACTGGATACGGCTGCCAGAGCTGGCGCCACCGCCAGTGGGTGGGCGTCCTGGCCAGGCGCCCGTCCCTTTTTTTTTTTTTTTCTTTTTTGTTTTTTTTGTTTTTTGTTTTTTTTTTTCTTTTTTTGTTTTTTTTGTTTTTGTTTTTTTTTTGTTTTTTTTGGTTTTGTTGTTTTTTTTTTTTTTTTGTTTTTTTTGTTTTTTTTTTTTTTATTTTGCAAAATCAGAAATTTAGTTTTATTTAAAATAATTTTGTTTTATGTCTAAATTTTTTTTGTTAATGTGTTTTATTTTTTTTTTTAAATATTTATAAACTTTATGTGTTTTTTTTTATAAATCGTGTATATTTTATTTTTATAAAATCAGATTTTTTTTTTGTGTTTATGTTTTATTTTTCTTATGTTTGATGTTTAAACATTTTTTATGCCTTAATTGATGTAGTATGTGGAAATTGTTTGTGTTAATGTGTAATTGTTTTTTTATTTAAAATGTGTAATACATTAGGGTATTATGTGTGTATTTGTGTATGTGTAATATATTTGTTTTTTATTTTTTATGTTTAATTATTTGAAATAATTTTTATTTTTTTTGGAAATCATAAATTTTGTAATATATTAGGGTATTATGTGTGTATTTGTGTATGCCGTATAATATTTTTCTATGTTTAATTAGTTGAAATAATTTGAAATTTTTGTTTTGTGTCCTATTTAGTTATTATGTGTTTGATTTTTTATAATCTTTATTAATTTTATGTTTATAAACATGACGATATGTTGGAAGTGTTGGTATTTTGTATCTGTAGGTAGTTATTTATTTTTTCTAAAAAACTTTTGTATGTTTATTGTTTGGGGGTCTTTAATGTCCTTCGGGAGAGTTACAATTTCCTAGCAGACTTCCTTCTTACGCCTGTACCTGCACAAGTAACGGAGACTCCGGATGGGGGTGGGAGTTCCGCCTCCGAAGATTAAGTTAGTATCTTTTCGAAGTGGAATAAGAACAATAAAAGCTTCTCGGTTCGAGAGCGTTTCAGTAGGTTTGGGCTTTGTTTGGTTTTTTGTGTGGTTGCAATTAATGTGTGATCTCCATAAATGAGGTCTACCCTTACTATTTATAGTAAGGGAGAACTGTACCTCAATTAGGGTACAAGGGACACGTGTCGCAAAGGGATTGGGCCTTTGCAGACCGTTGAAAGATTGACACGTGTCAAGCCTGTATTGGGCCACGTGTCTTAGGGTATTTTCACCCTAAACATCTGCCCCTCACAGGTGAGATGTGGCAAACTCACGTGTCACCTGTGACAGACGTAGGGTGCATGGGGTAAGTGACGGTTCGTCTGCTTCCCCCCCCCCCTTTTTTTTTTTTTTTTTTTTTTTTTTTTTTTTTTTTTTTTTGAATTCCAAATTTTCGTGCAGAAGGTGACTGTTCGCCTTCTGCCTCTTTCTATAAGTAGGGTGGCTACCTCTTTCCTCCGCACTTTTTATTTTCTTCAAATTTTTTTCAAAAATTTCCTGAGAAGAAGCTCTGATACCGGCTGCTTCTTTCAAGACTTTCGAGCATCCGGTTTTCGCAAGAACTTGACATCTGCCTTCCGGCTGAGTGCGGATTTAGTAAGGTACCGTCTGCTTTCTCCCTCTTTTTGCCCCTAGATTAAGGACCTCACTCGGCATTTTGCCGCCTGGTTATATTTTGTCCAAAATTTCTGAATTACCCCTACCTCATCCGGGATTTCCCGTCTGAGGTTTTTGAAATATTTCCCTAGTTTTAAAATGCCCTCATCCGGCATTTTGCCGCATGGGGCTGGCTTGGGATAAGTCCAAAAATCCCCCTCATCCGGCGTTTTGCCGTCTGGGATGTTTAATATACTCCCATCCGGCATTGGGCCGCATGGGACCCCTTTGAGCCAACTTTGTTTTTATTCAGACTAGTTACAAGTAACCCCATCCGGCCTTTAGCCGTATGGGGGTGGTCTGATCAACCTTTGCTTTCAAAC